TTTTTTTCATGTTTTTTTTTTTTAATTATATACAATCCCTTTCCCTTAGTTGTTACCTTTAACAAAAGAACATAAATAATGTAATAATCCAATGTGCAACCCATAATGATATGTTAAAGCGTGTGTGAAAATTAAGGTTTAAAAATAGATGTTAAATAAGTATATGAGCAGAAGTGATAATAATGCGAGAGTTTGTAAACCTGAATATTTCAAAAAGTATTATGATAGACCTTGTTATGAATATTGCAAATAATAATTGAAAAATGTTAACCAAGATATGTCTCAAGAGTCAATAAAATCTCTTCTTACTCTACCATCTTAGTAACAACAATTTGCAAATGGTTTATGAAATAGAAAACATAGTTAGTTTTTTTTTTAATATCAACTACTACGCACTCCCCCTAATCAAAACAAAACACTGTCCTCAATGTTCTAAGGTAGAAAGATAGAGTATAGAAAACATCACCTGAAACAACTACTACTGACAAACCTGAAACATAGTTAAACAAATATAAGAATAATAAAACTCAAATATTATGCTCTACTAATAAAACCAAAAGACACAAATTTTTACAAACTAAGACTAAAATTGTAGTTCTGATTGTGGCTTACACCTTCCGTTGGTTTTATGTCTAAGAACGACTTAAATGCCCTCTATAGGTTGGGGATAGGTTTCCTATCTAGTTTTCTTAAAAATTGATAAACAAGGTCTTTTTTAGTCAGATTCCCAAGACTAAGTCGATCATATTCTTTATGAAAATGGAGCCATAAATCATGAATTGCACAATGCACATCCCCACTAGGATGCATCTCAAAAGTTAATAGTTGATTATCTAAAGACTCCTTACTTAGGTCATCCTTATTGAATTGTATTTTATCTTAACGGTTTATAGATACCATTGCCAAAGAACGACATTGTGCATTATAAGTCTATTTAGCACATCGATGACAGACTTTTCAATTGTTTTGCATGATGTTTCTTTGTAAAAGTGCTTTTAACTATTCTAGGCATATGTGAAATGAAAGAATTAAAAAACTCACCTAATAATCAAACCTTTGCTTTAATTAGCCAGCGAATCTCTTCAGGAATTTGATGGTTCATTAACAACCTCAATCATGCACACCTAGCTTGGTAAATTTTTATAATCGCATTTTGAGGCAAAACAGGAAAATACTTTTTCAATTTTTCAAGAGTGGTGTCCATTTTTTAAGATAAGAAGTGGAAAAGAGATGCAAAGAGAAGAGAAGGACCAAGGAATTGAACAAATATATATATATAAATATCAGTTATCATGGAAAACTAAAAGAACCGACCTAAGAGTCACGGAGTATCGTTATCTACCATTTAACCGGGGTGAGAGAGACTAGCTGATTGATACTTAAAAATGTATTTTTATCAAGGTTTTATATCATCATTTTGCACTTGAAGTATCAATAACTCCTTAACTAAAGCATGTTTTATAATAATATATCTAATAATATAAGATACCTTTAATTTATGGTAAATGTCTATTTTTAATGCAGGCCTATCACATAAATAAAAGGATTGATTGATGAATTTAAGAACTGAAATTGAAAGGACAAAGAGATGGCCAAACATAGAAAAGAAATGTCGGTGCAATCCAAACCGGAACACTGTTCGGTAATTGGGTCATATCTAGAGCTATATATCTCAGATTTAGGTCCAATTTATATGGATGGAAAGGTAAGACATAGGCCTACAACTTTCATATGGAGCCCAAGATCTAAAAAGGCCATTATCAAGTCCAAATTGTAGCAACAACAAAGAAGCCCGAATCTGTCTTCCAGCCCGAGCACTGTTCGGTATTTTGGCCATATCTGGAGTTCTAGAAGTCCAAATGAGCTGAATTGTTTACACAAGAAAGCTGAGACAATTGCCTACAACTTTCATGTTTGCAACTGGCTCCAATTTTGACGTTATCAATGACGTTTTGGGCAGACAAAAGAAGATAAGGATTGTCACCAAGTCAAAAGTTGGTCACCCACTTATCAATTAGTCATCAAATCAATAGTTCCCATTTTTGGCCTATAAAAGGAGGCATTTGCCATGCATTTAGGCATCTTGGTGTTCAGATCAAGATCATGCTCTTCCTTTCTCTCTTTGTATTTTTTATGCTTTGTTTTCATTAATATTAAGTTTATGCCTTTCATTTCCTTTCCTTTACTTAGTTAACTTTTATGT